TGACCCCTCCCAGCTAACTTTTCTCCCTGCCCCGAGGAACTGCCAGCTTGAGTCTGCAACTTGCCTTTCCCATGAGTGTTTCTCTTTAGCTCCTCACTTAGCACCCCTGGAATTGTATTGAGTTTTGCAGTTTTTTTCCTGTGCGGATTACCTTCCCCCCCCCCCTCAGAGATGTAGAAAAATAGATGAAAAAGAGGTTTTCTTGTGTTGTCACCCCTCTGGATTGCTCCTGGATATTTGGTTTCCTGGAAAGGGGCTTCAGCCCTGGCCTGGGCCACCGAAGGACCCCAGGAGAACAGAAGAGCTGGGCTGTGGAGCAGATGAAGACCTGGGCACAAAAGCCGTGGGCAGCTCGCTGGCTTCTGCAGGCCCAGGGCTCGGAGCCAGCAGGCTGGAGCCAGGAGGCCTCCTGGGCCTCCTCACAGCCGCTTTTGATAAAGCCCCTCTGTGCACGGGGTGGGGGGGCCCGGCCGGCTGGAGCCAGCTCACATCTGGAGGCCAGCACAGGCCTGGGGCAGCCGGCGCGGCTGACAGCGGCGCCACCCTGAGCCACACGCCCAGCCCTGGGTAAACACGCCCGCGCCCACCCAGCAGCTCACCTTTCGCCCACAAGGCTGCCTTTCTTCTCGGACCCAGGCCGAGGCCACCACGAACATTCCTCCCGGCACAAGGCAGAACGGGCCTCTGACCTTGAGGCTGGGCAGACATCCGAATGCAGGCGCTGGGCGATGCAGAGGAGGCCGTGGAAAAGCACTTGGTACGTGCCAGGTGCCAAACGACGGCCCCGGGAGTGGGTACATGTGGTTAAGGGAGTGTGTTCTGGAGCTGGAAGACCCGCGTTCGAATTCCAGCTCCGGCCGTGTGAACTTGAGCAAGGCGCTCGACCTCTCGGAGCCTCTGTTTCCTCATCTGTAAAATGGGAATAATAAGAGCCGCTCCCCAGCAGTCGATGGGAAGCTTTAAGAAGTCGCCGTGAGTTAACTGTTCAGAAGCGTGCCTGGCCCACAGGTGCCCAGTGTTATGACTGCTCAGGCCCTCACCCAGCAGAGCTGTCCTGAAGGTGCCCTGTGCTGGGCATGGAGGTTAAGTTGGTGAAAAACGGGGCCCAGCCGTTGAAGATTTGTGTCTTTGCTCCGCTGAGCAGGAAGAGATGATCAGCAGGGGAACCCCAAGAGCAGATGACCCCCACCTGTTCTTCAGCCTGCTCTCCTGGGACGAGGCTACTGCCCTGCCACCTAAGGGACATCCAGGGCCAGCATGGATGAGAGCAGGTGGTCAGGCAGGCCAGAGCTCTATACCCCTTTCCCTGGGGATCATGACCGAGGACCAGCCTGGGAGCAGCAGGCCTGGGTCTGTACCACAATGTGGGCTCTCTGGTTGGTGGGCGGTGGCCGGAGAAGCAGCCAAGGCCTCCCGACTTCCAACCAGGTGCCAAGTGACTGGACCCAGCAGACACCAGTGTACACCAGCACGGTGGGGCCTCAGCACGTCCCGCTGCGTCCGTGACACCCCCCACCCATTTCTTCTTTTGCAGGGGCAACGGGGTAGGGAGGGGGTAGGGACAATGGCACAGGTACCAGTCGTGCCGTGGTGTTGGGGAGACTCGTGAGAGAGGCCGCAGGAAGGGCACGGTGCCTGGCACAAGGGAGAGGTCTGGGCAGGTATCAGGGCGGCTTCCTGGAGGAGGCCGCTGTTCGCCACAGTGGGAGGAGAGGCAGGAATCGGAGCAATAGTGGGGAGAGGGAGAACTGAGCCCCTTCTGCACACGTAGCGCCCCCCGCCACAAGCTGTCCCCCCGAGCTGCATCGCTGACTCTCCTGGCAGTTGACAGGGTCTGTACTCCAGCCATCCCCACTTCACAGCTGAAGACACTGAGGCCCAGCGGCGAAAATAATTTGTTCCCTCAAGGAGTAAAAGCCAGAGCCAGATTTTGCACAGCCGAGCCAACAGTGCCTCCCCCGCTTCTCCCTTCTTCCCTACCTGGGGTCTTTTCTGCACCCCACTGTGTGCTAGACTCATGGAGAGGAAGCGAACCCGGTGTCAACCCTCAGGAGCCCCCTCCTCACGTCTCTGTCCACCACCGGCCTCGAACCATCCCTTGTCCCTTCTGGGCCTTGGTTTCTCTCCTCCCAGCAATGGGTTCGACCTCTACAGCCCCTTCTGGCCCAGTGTCCCTGACAGAGCAGCATGGAGGAGCAGCAGCAGGGGCCTCCTTGCCCCAGTGAGGCAGGGTGGGGGTCCTCCACCTGCTGCCACCCCCCCAGTCCCCCGTGAACCTGCTCGCCAGGCTGGAGCCAGCCGCCATCTGGAGCGACGGGCTGTTTATGGAGCCAGGCGGCGGCCCTGGCTCTGACCCGGCCAATCTGGAAGCGATTAGCGGCCCGGGCTGGGGAGCATTTGGAGTTCTCATCAGCCTCAGGACCCC